ACTTGCGGAAGGTGGTGACCAAAGCTACTAGGGTGAATGCCAATGGACAAGTAAAGATGCAACCACTAAGAACGTCTCATGAATAATGTAGTCTTTAATGTCATGGAATTAAACATGAAAGAGAAAAATACAGAGATGAGGGATCCCGAATCCTCCTAACGGTCAAAGTTTTCAAAAAGATTAACCAGATGTAAAAATTGTAATTTAACATTAGGCAATTTTTAATACTCTGTAGAGAAGTTAGAAGAAATCATGGAAGAGCCCCAAATCTTGAAGAGCAGACACGATCCAACTATGCATCTGATGTTTTAAACAGATAAAGCAAACAAAGGTGAAATACAAATGCTATACCTTAGAGGATGGAGGGGGCAGAGAAGCCTGACGCACAGCCTTTCCTGGCTCTGTTAGCTGCTGAATCTCATGAAGCTGGCGTGCTAAATTCTCCAAAAGTTCCATCTGTACTCTTTCCCTTTCACGATATTCAACTGATATGCTAAGTTTCTCTCTCCCTTCCTGCACAGTTCTTAATCTTTCTTGAAGCCTAATAATTTCACTCTCGATTTTTAACCTTTCAGTATCCAATGGAGACATGGAACTCCTCCGCATATCCGAAAGAAAAGGTTTGCACCTTGGGCCCATTGGTGGAAGACCGCTAGTTATGTCTGAACTGCTTCTCTTACTGTCTATTTCAGTCTTCAAACCACTAGTGCCAGGACAGTTGGTGATAGCAACAACCCTCTTTGCAACCGAGGCCTCCAAGGGAACATCACTTTTCCTATTAGCTTCTGACGTATCAGTGACCAAAAACTTCTCACCTTTGCTTCCATTTACGTAGCTACGTAAGTTCGATCCATTTCCAATGACATCAACATCATAGACATGAGGGTCATTATCAAAAACTAAATTACCTGAATTATGAAATTCATGATGTGCATCTTTCCTATGCTGCTTCAAATGTGGAGCATCATATAAATCACCTGTCTCAGTTCCATTACTAGTGTCAATCTTATTTTGGCCTAGGTTGAAGCTCTCAGTTCCCTCATGCACTTTCCCTACTAAAAGGATAGTTTTCTCAGGAAAATTAATTCCTTGAGGGTCCCTTGGCGGCACATACAAGTTATCATCTACGGATATCATCTCTTTCTCCTGCAGCTCCACAGTGCAATCACTACTGCATATCGACATCCGCGAAGGTAGTATGCCTAAGTCCTCTTGTTTCTGGAAGTTAGCATTTCCACACGATCCTTGAACTGGGGATTCATTTCCAATAACTAGTGCACAATTCTGTTTATCAATAGATACACTATCATCTGAACCTTTGTTTTTTATCATTACCTTCTTATCAATAGACGCGCTAAGCTCGTGTAGCATCAGAACAGGATCCTCGTTTGGATCAATCGAAGAATCAACAGGTAGTTGCGGATCATATTTCTCCCCGCCATCATAAGCTATTTGTTTGTCTCCAAGAAAACTCATCTGCCCGTATACTTCAACTTCCTTTTCC